AAAAAAAAAGAAAAAAGAAATCTTGCCATTTGCAACAATGTGGATAGAACTAGAGGGTATTATGCTAAGTGAAATAAGTCAGTCAGAGAAAGACAATTTTATCACATGCCCTCACTCATGATCATAGGGGAAGGGAGGGAAAAATAAAATAAGACCAAATCAGAGGGAGACAAACCATAAGAGACTCAATCATAGGAAACAAACTTAAGGTTGCTGGAGGGGAGGGGGGTGGAGGGATGGGGTAACTGGGTGATGGGCATTAAGGAGGGCACATGATATAAGGAGCACTGGGCGTTATATAAGATTGATGCATCACTGACTTCTACCTCTGAAGTTAATAATATACTATATGTTAATTAACTGAATTTAAATTTTTAAAAAATGAGATCAGGAACTCAGTACGTTGACTTACTCTAGCACTCAGTAAGTGGTAACCAATCTGAGTAAAAATAGGAAACAAATATTTATCTAATGATCCCAGATTAACTGGAGCCAAACTGACTGGAAGGTAATTTCCTAGTGTACTTTTAGAGGAAAGAAGCAACAGCAGGCTGACTATCCCTACCAGAAATGCAAAGCTGGAGTGGAGGCGGGTGGGAGGGATGGGGTGGCTGGGTAATGGACACTGGTGAGGGTATGTGCTATGGTGAGCGCTGTGAATTGTGTAAGACTGATGAATCACACACCTGTACCCCTAAAACAAATTATATATGTTAATAAAAATAAATACAAAGCAACCTCCACACAAAGGTCACCTTACATGATGTCGGTCCCTATACCTGGCAGGCCTGGAAAATGAAAATTCATGCTGCTTTAGTCATCAGGGAAATTATTAGATTCCATTTGAAATCACAGAAAGACCTGGAAAGAACCTTCCATACAGGGCAGCTAATAATTGTTGCTTTGGCACAATGGTACAAATCAGAGCAAACTGGGCTGTGTGGTCACCCCACCTACAGGTCATCTAGCCCCACTTCCTGGCCTGACGAGTAATGTAAGACCCCAAATCACATAGCACCGACAACAAGCAGCATGGCTGGTCACCTCACCACGCTCCCTTCCTGACAATCCTTTCCACCTCTAGCACAAGTCTCAGCTTCGTGTGTTTTTCCCATCTGCTGGAAAGAAAAGGCCAAATGACATGTCCCAGAGTCAGAGGACAAGCCCAGGACACCTGGATCTGAATCCTAGCTCTGCCACCGACAAGGTGTTTAAGCTCTCTGGGCTCTAGGTGCCTCAACTGCAAAATGGTTACAAACCTTAAATAAATATACAAAACATCAGGCAAAATAACAGGTAGGGGTCAGGTGCTCGAAAGTTCGTTCCATTCTATTTCCTAATCCCTTCACCATCAAACCCAGGCCATATTCAGGAAGGAATTTTCAGTGCATTCAGAAGAGTCTGATAAACCTGAATTACAACCGTCTTAGGAATAAAAATTGCTTTCAAAACTGGCCTCATTTGTTCAAACTGGAATCAGTCGTTTGTCTCATTCACCCGTTCAGTAAATTTTTATGGAGCGGTTACAGTGTGCTGGCCTCACAATAATCAAACCAGTGCCCCACCACAACTGTCTCTGGCCAATGGTCTCTTGAGTGGCAGGTACGGAAGCAGCCCCCTGCTCCCACCACGCACAGGCGCCCAAGAGACAGCTTTCTATTAAGAAGGGAAAGGGAATACTTTATAATCCACCCCTGCTTAAGGAATTATTTGGTTTCTTTTCTTCTTTCATCTCAATGGGCGAATTAAATTGCTTTTTTTAAAAAAAATTTTAAACCTAGGGGTGCCTGGGTGGCTCAGTCAGTTAAGCGTCTGCCTTCAGCTCAGGTCATGATCCCAGGGTCCTGGGATCGAGTCCCACATCGGGCTCCCTCCTCAGCGGGGAGTCTGCTTCTCTCTCTCCCTCTGCCCTCCCCCTGCTTGTGCGCTCTCTCTCTCTCTCATAAATAAAATATCTTTAAAAAAATTTTTAAACCTATAGGAAAATTGGGGAGGGGGTGAGTATTTAGAAAAAGTTTTGATGGCCAATAAATAATATCTTTTTGTTTTTTAATTTGTAAAAAAAACTCAAGGATTCCCCTGTTTCCTGACATCCCAATTATAACTGAAGGCT